TTATCTTCTGTCACTCGCAAAAACCAGGGCGGATACCCTTGTAAGGGTATTCGCGCCGACACCGTGTGGCAAGGCCCTTATTTGCTCAGCCAGGCTGAAAATTTCAAGTCCTTGTCATTCTCTACCGTCACCAGACTTCCCCTGGCTGCCCAGGTTCTGTCAAACCATCTCCTACCTTGTTCCCTGCCCACACCTCCTCTTCCTTTCCTACTCCAGTCCGCGACTATCGCATTCCTAATCTGTGTTTTGACACTATTAATCATCTCCATATCTGTCATGTCCTCGTTAATAAAAAATGTGCTTATTTTGGCCCTGCCAGATGACTGCATAAATGATAGCCCGAATCACTTGGGCCACGTACCCCCAACCTTCTCCTATCTGGAGGTTGTCTGGGACACCTCCTAGCAGGACCCACCTCTTATCCCAAGGAAAGGCCTTCTCTGATAGCCTGTCCCAATGCCCCGCCCACCACTTCCAAATGTGGGCCGAAGCTGGACAGTCCCACCAAAGGTGGACTGTTGATTCAAACGCCCAACCACATCTCCCACAGACTGTGTCTAGTCTCAAACCTCTTTCTGACAACCAGACTGCTGACGGAGTAACTAATAGCGACAGTAATCAGAGCGTGAATGCTTGTCGTTGGCTAGAGATCAAGATTAGCTGTTGCCAACATTGTAGTAGTGTCTGAGTGACACATTCTGGTTCCGTGTGCAGAGTTTTGACCCATCTGTCAGCTGCTACTGGGTGGGGAGTTTTGCGTGGTTCTTGGAGTCTATAACCTAGCTCAGTCTCATATTCTACCAGTAATTTATCTTCTCCAAAATTACCTCTTCCTCTCCACAACCACTTCATGGGATCCACCCTGAGAGTCTCGAGTTTCTGTCCATCTCCCATAAGGGAGGCTGACCAGGTTCCGTCCTCGTCACAAGATTATTTGATTCTTACTTGTGCTAGTACCGCTGGGGGGCGCCTGGGCCAGTCGTCTTCATCAATTAAGTGCATCTTCGTCACGTCGTTCACCTCCCCAGACCTCCAACATTCAAATTTCCTCCTGCCATCTTCCAAATATTGAGTCAGTTTCCATAACTTATTTCTTCCTTGTGCCTGCTTGTCCACATACCATGAGCCTGGCGGGTCAACGCCCTCTGGACTCAACAGGTCCTTCCAAGCTTGGGGAATCGCTGCTATGATGGCAGCCAGTTTCACCTGTCTCCTTCAAGTTCCCCAGAGTTTGCTTGAGGTCTGAGGGCGATCGCCACCTTCCTGTAAACTCATCCCAGATGTCTGCAATGCAGGACACCCCTCGCTCGATCCATATTCTTCCGAAGCTGCCCGTAGCCCTGTCTGCTGCGAACCAGGCATCTCTTCCATCTCTCATCAGCGGATTTTCAAACAGACCTTGCAACAAAACTTCTTGTTTCGTAACTGGAAACCTACAATGATCTGGTTTGATCTTGTGCCAAACCTTCAAAATACCTGTCCAGAGTTCCGATTTCAGTGGTTTGCGAAGGAATGAATCAATCCAAATGCATACCCACGCATCTTCTGGTCGACTCAGATTCCAACTTCTTGCCAGTGCCCGCTCCGCCAATATAATCCAGTGTTCGTTTGAATTGCACGTTACTGCCTTTATTGCCCAGCTCGCCAGCATCGCTGTGTTCTGTTTCCCTGGGTCCTTCAGCCCCAGACCCCCTTCTCTCCTAGGAAAGCATATGGTATCCCAGGCTACCTTTGACAGGAAGCCTTCTGAGTCTGAGCTGAAAGGTTTCCAAAGAAAGTGGGCAGATCTCCTTTTCACTATCGCGTTTACCTTCCCACCCAGTGGCCTAATTTTTCCCACGTACCATAATCAGGCGAAGAGGGCAACATTTACTACTAACGCTCTTCCCATCAACGACAAATGTGGGGCTTTCCCCCACGTAGAGAAGTGGTGTAGCACCTTCTGTTGCAGTAGCTCGTTTTGGTGGTTTTCAACTTTACGCAGGAAAGTAGAGTTACTTGAATTCCAAGAAAGCGTTCGGATTGGTGGTTTTCAACTCTACGCATTCCCCATTGGACCTTCAACGAGAAGGGGCTTGGTAACATGTACGTTGATTTCGACCAGTTGATTGCCGCTTCTGAAAGTTCCTCATAGTCCCTTAAACACACTCTCAAGGCTGTTAGCGCACAATCTGTGTTCTCCACTACCGCGAAAAGATAATATGCGAGTGCTTTGACTTGACAGTCTCTGGCTCCGGTTGGCAGACCCTTGATGTCGCTGTGCTCCCAAATGTTGCAGAGCACTGTTTCTCACTGAAGGACAAAGAGGAGGGGTGCCAGCAGGCAACCCTGATGAAGCGACCTGGACAACTGAAATAATCTTGAGCGGTGTCCATTTATCATCACCGATGTCGTCGAGGCTGAGTACATCACCACTACCCACCTACAAAAACACTCTCCAAATCCAAGCCATCTGAGGGTTGTGAGCACGTATGACCAGTTCACCTGGTCATATGCTTTCTCCATATCCAACAGAAGTATTGCGAAGTCCAAGTTGTCCTCTTGAATAGTTTCCATTGCCTCAATAGTCGTGACTATATTTACAAATATTGACCATCCTTTCATGAATGTTGCCTGATTATCTACAACTAGGTCTGGCAGGTATTTAGCTAAACTTCAAGCCAATATTTTTGCTAGAACTTTATATGCCACATTTAATAGGGAGATAGGTCTCCAGTTAATGGATTTCACTCCTATCTCCCTTCTTGAATAAGACCGAAATAATGTCGTTACAGGCATTCCGCCGGAGCTGTCCACCTGTCAAAATCTCGTTGTAAATGTTGACCAGATCCTCTCCCACTACCTGCCAAAACACTAAGTAGAATTCTATCGGCAAACCGTCGTTCCCTGGGACCTTCCCTTTCGCCATTGAGCTCAGTGTAGACCTCGCCTCTTCCATTGTAACCGGTCTGTCCAAGTCTAACCGACCGTGATGCGGAAGCCTGACCTTCAGATTCCTCCAATGAGTATTGTTACACGCTAGGTTGGACTCAGCCCCCTCCCCTGGTCTTCTGGACGTGAGAATGTCTTGATAGTAGCATGCCGCATATTCGCAGAGGTCGAGTGGATGGGTAGCTCGAGGTTCTGTGTCACAGAATGGGTGCGCTAGCTCTATCATCGGTTGAGTAGATCTCCTTGGCAGCAGCTTCTGAAACGAGTCATTTGTCATGCGATCGTCAACGATTATCCCTTTGACCTTGAGCCTTTCTGCCTAGGTCTCCGCTTTCTCTTGCTGGAACCTGTCCCATTCCTCCAGTCTCTTCGCCCTTTCCTTACCCCATACCAACTCTGAGATCGGATGTTCTTGCATTCGTTGCTCTGCGTACTCCACCCTCTTTTTATACCTCCTTTCTTCTTTGTTTCTCTCCATCGCCAACATTTTTTAGAAGACATTTAACAAATTAGACAGAATCTTGGACCCAACTTCCCACCAATCTGCGAGCGAGTCGAACTGTTCCTTCTGCTTTGACCATCTGTCCCAAAACTGCGTCACCCACTCCCTCAGATTGGGATCTTTCAAGTTTTCAGTATTTAATCTGAATTACCGTCTTCCTTGGGGGTGATCATCTTCCAATCTGAACTCAGCTAATACCGGGCAGTGGTCTGGGACAGGTTGATTTTGATTATTGATTTTTACCAGTGCATTCAATCCTATCTCATTGACTAAAAAATAGTCCAACCGTCTTCCTCGGCCTTGGTTCGAGAACCATATATAGCCCGGGTTTGATGGGTGTGTCAGTCTAAATCAGACTAAATTGGTCGTCCATGTGGAGGTCTGTCATAAAGTCCATGATCGGTAGGATCGTTCTCACTGAGTCCCTTGCCCCTACTCTTTTGTTTTCATTCAGGGTCTGATTCCAGACACCTACAATAATTAAGTTGTCTGTGTTAGGTAGGCTGAACGGTAGATCCTTCAGAAAGGTCGTTCGATCCTTCTTACTTACTGGCGCATATATGGTGGCCACTACCCACTCCTATTGTCCTATTCCCATCTTAATCCACGCCCATCTACCCCACAAGTCCGCATAGTGGTCCAAAATCTCGACATTTACGTCCCTGTGGAGTAGTATCGCAACCCCTCCCCTTGTGCCTTGTGCAGGCGACCATACCAGGGGGCCATCCCACCAACTGCCTAGGTCCCGGATCTTATCTTCGTTCAACTTCGTTTCTTGTAAACACGTGATTGCTACGTGATTTTCGTGGATCCAAATTTTCAGCCTAGGTCTCTTCCTCCTCCCTGTGGCATCTCCCAATCCGCAAATGTTCCAGGTCGCTATTGATAGTCTAACCATTCAGCCTGAGCCCACCCAACCCTCGGATATGGGAGGAACCAGGCCTCGATTGCCCATCCACTCCAGCTGGGGCGCTCTCTGGCTACACTTTTGTGAGTGCATCCTTCATAAACTGCGAATCCAACTTCTTCTCCTTATGCAAACGAATCTTCAGCTCCACTAGGCATTCCGTTGATAGTCTTGGTGTGATCGCAATCTTGCAGAGTTCCTGTCTCCTTCCTTCTGAAAAGCATGCAAGAGGAATTAATTTTAATCCCATCCTCTCCAACTGTGGCAGACTATCCGATGTAAATTTGTTGTCCAGCACTGGGATAAACAGCTTCACCTTATGTCCATCGACATCGGTGATGATTATGGCCATCGAGCATTTCGGAACAACTCTCGCAGGAAAGTACTCAAAGTAGAGCGTCTTCAAAGCCTGCTCTATTACTTGCAGGGACGGAGCGTCCGCTACCGGTTGCGAGAGTAATGTAAACGGGGCCGTCGGTGTTTGCCATGCAATCGCCCAGTAGGCGTTTCTTGCATACGTGCATACCAACGAAAGTAGCATTTGTTCCATACCCGCACCTTGGCCCTTCGCCACAGATGTGAGACGCCTGTCTCTCGTAGTTTTCCTGCCTGGAGTGGCGGTAAGGTCCAGGGAGTGTGTGGATGATCCTCCTGATTCCTCGGCTCTTAATTCCTTTACTGACGACATGCTCAGCCTCCTTTGTTTCCCTGACGGTCGCGCTCTCTGATTGGATCCTTCTTCGATTCTTGATGTCGATGCCCCTTGTTTTTCACTCTCAACTTCCTCATAAGTCCCTTCACTTCGATCTTCCCCGACTCTCCTTCCTGGTGGCGTAGATATCGGAGTGCTGAAAGGTTGACCGCCTCTCTCTACCGTAGTGGCCGCTTGGCCGCTGAGGCCTGGCACAACTTGAAAGCCTGGTCCTGGATTACCGACAAGGGCTCTGGGATAATAACTATGGAAGGTTGACACTCCATGTGTGCCCGCCGTGCCAAGGCCCCCTCCTTGAGGGAGGGGGGCGTTTCCACCCGTACCAAACGATTGCTGCTGGTTCAACCAGATCCCTCCGTATGGAGGGTATCCTCCTTGCATCCCGTACATATTGGCTGCCATCTAAAATAGATTGCCCATTGACGGGCCTGCTTGCAGCGGCCCACCTAGCCGCCCGTGGCCTCTTGGAGAGAAAACAGGTTCATAGCGGCAATAGAGAAACCAACAGGGTCGACGCCTCCTGTCGGGATCCTTTGCGGCGGTTGTGGACCGAGTGGGCCATGGTACGATGGTCTTTGACCACCTCTCTTACTTGCTTCCGATTGCGCCGGTTGTTGTAGTGGTGCATTGAACGCCCCTCCCCCTCCTGAACTCTGTCTTCCTCTATTTCTTCGACAATCTGCTGCCACGTGGAAAAATTGCTTAGAGATCTGACACTTCGGTGCGGTGGAGCAAGCCAATTTCACCTCCTGTTCGTCTCCATTAGATGTTGTTATCCACAGTTTGTCTTTCATGTTACCTCTTGCTTCTGGCTCGATGTCAAAATGAGTGTTAACGAGTGCTGGTCTTGGCGGGTCCGTATCCGGACGATGCGCCAGGATGATTCTTCCAATCGCCCGTTGAATTTGCGTGAATATAAAAGGCATGTCATCCAACGGTATTTGAATTGCGACCACCCAGAAGGTTCTGTCATCTTCTTGCTGCCTCAGCTCCCTGAACTCTGCTTTTGTCATCCAGGGTTTAAACTGGATTTTGTATCTTGCCGTTCTCACCGGGATCTCTACTCCTCCTTCATGTATCATATACGTCACCACCTCACGAGATTTCGCCACGTACGAGAGCGCATTAGGGCCTTCTATCTTGACTCTGCCACGCCTGGTTTCAGTCGGGAAGTTGTCGCTCCTCAACACCCATCCATTTTCAAAAGCATGGATCGTGTCATCCTTCACGCTTCTTGACAGAAACCTTGCGTTCTCCTTAAAGATAACCGAGACCGTCCTTTCCTTCAACCATTTCACTTTTATTTCTTCCAAGGACGTGTTCAACTTGAATTTCACCTCTCTCCCTTGAACTGACATTTCACCCGGATCCAGTTCCGTTGGGTAAACACCATCGTCAAAACACAGACCCATCAACGTTTCGATTCTCTCTTCTTCCTCCCAGTAATTCACCTGGTCCGATGGACGTGTTGGGGGGGATCGAGCACTTAATCTCTCCCCTCTCGCTTCCTCTGCCTCTTCCATTGTGACTCCTTATTCCCTCTCTAATCTCACTTCTACTACCACTCAGGTCTAATAGTGACCTTACTCTTTCCGCTCACTACTGCCTTGCCTTCCTTCTTCCTTCCTCCTACCTTGCTTCTTCTGAACACCCTTTCTATAAGCTTCTTTCTCGAGAAACACGGAAAACGGCAATCGCCCTACTGTCAGCTAATAGCTTGTAGCCATAGCTGCTTTCCGACCGCATTGCGGCGAAAGCATCAGGAGTGCCGAGACGCTATCTCGGTGGTAGCACTTCGGTCGACCGAGAGGGCCAGCTTCCCGACCCGGTAACGCTGGGCAGAGCGCTTGGTGCCGGCCTCCGCGTTCCGTCCGTGTCCTCTGATCCACCGTAATTGAATTGGTTGGGCTTAAAGAGAGCCAATTTGGGTGAGCCTGTGCTCAGAGATTTCGTCTAAGGCTGTTGGCCCAACGGATATGGTATGAGGCTTGAAAACATAAAGACTTGAACATTTTGAAGACTTGAAGACATTCTCCTAACGGCCCACCGCGACCCCTATGCAACCGAGTACCCTGGTTGGTGCAAACAGTACAAGCAGTACCAACACTCCACAAGGAGGCTATAAATTAATAACTTACCAGCTCTGACTAACTATCCTATACTATTTACACAGACCTAAGATGGCCTGACACCGGCCTTTGCGACCGATTGGACATCCTCCGTGTAAAAATGACACTCTACCACCCTCCTCCCTGGCAGTCTACTGTGGCCAGATCCTGAACCGAGTGCCCTGGTTCTGAGCAACATCTAGCTTACCATATTGTTATCACTTACTCTGCTTACCATTTAGTTTCTGTCTCTCAATGGGGCACATCTAGCACCCATTTCGAAATCATCAATCCCTTTCTTGAATGTACTCCCGCCCACTGGTGATCTTTTGCCCAAGTGCGGAGGAACCATCGAAGCTGGTGTCGACTTCCCTTGCCAGATTTTGCCTTGCGCCTCCAATCTGCCCAGATAGCATGCTTCAGTCCTTTCTTGATGTGTCTCTTTGTTTCCAGATCAGAGTACGGTCGTTTCTGAAATCTCGACCTGTTTCTGTCTGCCCAGATTGTCTCGGAGATCAGACCTCTCACCGCGTGTGCTATGTATCCCCATCCGCGGCGCCCTTCGACATCTGACGGAAGGAACCCTAGCAGCACCCACTTTTCGACCCACTCCACTCCCTGACCCCCAAGGTCTCTCCAGTGGTGGGCCCACCATTTCTAGATTCATTTTGAAGCGGGGCATTCCCACCACATGTGTTTGGTGGATTCAAACGGCCACCTGCACCTTGTGCATGTCAGGTTCACCACCATGCCGCTGCTTGTAAGCCAAACTGCAGAGAGGGTTACCATTAGTGATAGCATCCACAATAGGCTGACCTGCTTGCCGTTTGGGAGTGTGGACAGGGTTTTCCACAACCTCTCAAATTCCGACGCTGCATTCGAAAGGTCCTCGTCCCAGATTGCCTGCCATCGGGGTATTGCCACGTGAGCCTGTGGGTATACTGCCTGTAACCTTCAACGATTGAGTAGTTTTGAAGACCCAGCTTACCGTCTTCTGCTCACTTTGGTGCCCAACTCCAGGCTGCTGGGTCAATGCATAATTGGTTTAGCAGAAGTTTGCCCACCCATGTGTGTATGCATGTTGCAGGTCTTTTGTTTCTTACAGTCAGTACCCGAGCTTGAGCAGGGTTATCCCAGAGCTGCATTGTGTCTTCTTCCACAGTGATAGGCCGTTCAATGGGCCTTCGCACTTCCATCTCTCAATCCGCCTGAAGCCACTGGGTAAGATTTTCAGCAGCTTCCACAACTCTTTGCCATCACCCTCCTCGTCTGGGACATACCAGGTTCCTGCTGGGTCCAACCCTTCTGGCCTAGAATGGTGAGCCAGTCTTCGGGGATGGCACTGAGTACGTTCCTCCAGTGCAGTTCCACTCTCTGCAAACCCTGAGTACTGTTTTCAAACCGACCAATATCTCTGATCCTCCTAGGACAGACGACCACAAGTCTGATACTCTCACAATTCCTCTCCGGATCCAAGCCTATCCAAAGGTGCCCGTGGAACCATCCGCTGGGAATACTTGGCCTGATTGGTCAGTTATTGCTGGATTTTCGAACAGCAGCTGGTTCAACACTTCTTCCTTGGTGGAGGGAGTGGTCTACACATCTGGAGGGACACGCTTCCACGCCCGCCGGATTGGTTCCCAAAAATTGGATTTGAGTCTCTTCTTACGGAAGGAAGGTATGAAGAAGCAGGCCCAGACATCCTGGGGCATCCTTAGATTCCACTCGCTCATCAGGATGCGCTCGGCCACGGCAACCCAGTGTTCTCGTGTCTTCATGTTAGCAATTTTGACCACCCAGTTCTGCAGCTGGGCCTGATTCCTAGCAGACCCAGACCCCCTTTGGACCGAGGGAATCTGAGCGTGTCCATTGCTACTTTAGATATAAAACCCTCGGTGATATGGGCACGAGGCTTCCATAAAAACCGTGCCACAGGTCTCCTGACTGCTCTGATCACACCCTCCGCCTGTTCCCTCACTGTTGATACAAACCATACGATCGAAAACAGGGCTACATTAGAGACTAGTGCTCTACCCAACAGGGATAAGTGCCATGTGTTGCCCCACAGCCTCAGTCTGGCTGCAATCTGTTGCTGAAGCAGGAGGCTTTGAGATGATGTTTCTATCTGGAGACTGATCAACACTCCTAGGAATCTTTCTTTTCTCCCCTCTCCACTTTGATCATCCCCCATTCAACCTGCAAGGATAACTGTGTTGGCAACAAGTAAGTGGACTTGTTCCAGTTGACAGTTGCCTCAGACAGCGTTGAGTACTCGCACAACACAATCTTTAGAGCGGACAACGAGGCGGTGGAGTTCTCCGAAACTGCGAAGAGGTCGTCTGCAAGTGCTTTCACTTTACATTCCCCACCGGTGTGACGAACCATTTTCTGTAATCGCGCGACTTTCTGCGCGAAGCTGCCTTGGGGAAATGGATGGGTCGAATGGGTGAGTTGTGGAAAGATGGGTCGGGCGAGCAAGTTGCATGGATACCCTCTTTTCCTTTTTTTTTGTTTTCTGTGGAATCTGTCAGGTTCGTGTCAGGAAAGTCCCGCGCCAACGATTGGGTAGCCGCGCCACAACGAACGCAATGGCCAACGGTTGCCATAACTTCTTTCTTGTTTTGCTGTGAGCACTAGGAAATTTTGGCGCGATCATCGGGCGGGAATATCGTTTTTGTTTTGAATTTCCGACGGATGTCGAGCCCCCACGGGCTCGCGGAATTGTTTATTGGGCTCTTCGAAATTTCCTTTTGCAATTAGAACTTAGGCTTGGAATTTAGGTACTCTAAATTTTGTTGCACCGCACTTGCGTGCATCTTGGTGCGCTGGGAAGTGGGCTCTGACTGGATCGCGCCCTTAATCTTGTACAACTGTCGCTTTTGGCGGGCGCGATTGTAACTGTATTTTTCTTCTTTCTTGACTTCCTCGTGTTTGCCTGCCTTTGTCTTCTTTGTCTTGCATGCTTAATGCTCCATCCTAATTGACCTGAATGCCTGTATGACCGGATCGATGTGTGGAGTGCGGCTACGACCCCCACGCCTCGGCCTGGCTATGCAAGATGTAGGCACTTCCTCTCTTCCCATCCTGACCACTTGGACTTAATCCCGTACCTTTTGTGCAAGCATGCATGCTATAAATTTTGCAAGCGCGATTAGTTTGCTCTCTATGAACCTTAGAGTTAGCGCGATCAGTGAGGGTCGGCTAACGAGTTAGCTGGAAGAGGTGAGTCGACGAGAGAGTTGGGCGATCCGACGAGCAGGTGTCCGGTATGCGGGGTTGACGTGCGGGCCGCGACCGACTGTGGCGCATGGGCAAACCTGGCTTGCATGCTCGAACCAAGTGGGGTGACAACTCTGTGTTGATGCGCGGCGACGGACTGCCCACGTTGGGGAGTGTTATATAGAGAGAGAGAGAGAGAGAGAGAGAGAGAGAGAGAGAGAGAGAGAGAGAGAGAGAGAGAACAACTATGTGGGGGAGGAGGTCTCTTCTTCCAATCATCTGTACAACTTTGATTTCTATTTTTGCCGATCTTGTTGCGGCCCTCCCGGACCTTCTTTGTAAATTGTTTCGAATTTTCCTTCTTGTCTTTGCTTCTTAAGTATGCATGAAATGAATGAGAACCCCTTTTGAGTGATATTTTTGGATAATTTTTTTATGGTGCCTGCTTAATTAATTCGCCACTTTCAAGTAGCCATCTGTGTCGATAATCCGAGGTCTGATTGAAAACACTCGCTGTGGATGTTTAAGGTTTGATTGTTAGCCTTTGATCGTCTTCAAATCACCAGGAATGCGGCGATGTCAGGACGATTGCCCCCTCGCCCCCCCTCCTTTTCTCTTCCCCTTCGTCACATGAATCGTAGGAATGTGAATGTAATGACGGGATCTCACCCGAAACGGCATGGGTAGGATAGTTGCATGTAGGAAGGGCACAATCAATACAGCGACACGAGAAATCCAAGCCTGATCCACTTTCGTTCATGTGCACGCTCGCGTACGCACACGATCTCGAGAAAACCGAGTCGCAACGTACACACGCGTCTACATGAGTCAAACCCTGATCCTAGCTCACTATAAGGGATGAGGGAGATCGAGTCCACCGTTCAAATATTGTTGTAAAACCCCCCTTTATGATCACCGATCATGAGAGCCCGAGGAAACCAGAGTATCGAGAATACTGGGAGGGAGAACATCTCAGACGGTCGGGAACCTTGAGAAACCCGGAATTCCCCTGTCTAACTTAGAACGACTGACTGTGCGTGAGAGACTTCCACCGGGCCATAACTAACGATCCTAGGGGCTTAGACTATCCGGAGACTAACAACACTCAATATTATATATCTCGGGGCTTCCTCGTTATTAGTACAAATTTTCCTCCCTTCCATCTCCTCCTTCCATATCACCAGCTCACAGTGGTACCGTGGAATTCCATAGCTCGCTATTGGCCCCGCACATCGT